GGGATGGAACTTGGGTCTTTGTGCTTGCGAGGCAGGCAGTGGAACCACTGAGCTAAATCCCTGGCCCTGTTACTTGTTTTTTAGTTTTGTTGAGGTGCCTTTCTTTATTCTTCTCATATAGATTCCTTTGTTCTAGCACTGTACTTTGACTCTTTCCTTATTTTTAATATATTATAGATGTTTACACTGCAGTTACCATTGGCTTATAAAAATCTCCTTTCTTTTTAACAAGCTATTTTGAAATTATAGTAACTTAACATAATTATAAAGTTAAGAACAAAGACAAAAGAGCATGAGAATATATATTAATAAGAAAACTCTACTTGCACTCCATTCCTCCCCACATTTTGAATTTTTGGTATTCTCTCATATCTTTCCATATTGCTTATCTCTTCTTTCTGATTAGTGCATGTTTGCAATACATAATGAATACATTCATTGTGGGGAACTGGTATATATATTACATCTTATCCTTTATTCTTTGCTTTCTTCTCTCCACTCCCCCTCTACCCCCGGATCTCTTTTCTACCTCCAAAAATTGTTTTTTATTTTTCTTTTATTTTGCTCTTTATTTATACTTGCGTGTATTATCTCTTAACATTAATTGTCATTCTAATTGTTTTTTTAATTTTCATGCTAAAGATATAGTTTATACAACATACTATAATCAAACATTCTACATTTGTGTAATTACTTTCACTAGGGAGCTTTATACCTTCCTATATTTTCTTCTTATACATTAATGTCTCTTTCAGCTTAAAGAACTTTTTAGTATTTTTTAAGAAAAGTTCTGGTGGATATGTATCTTTTGTTTAGGAATGTCTTTTTTCTCTTTTCTTTCATGTTTAAGAGCTTGTGTTTCGGGGTAGACTTGGTTGAGTTACATTTGACTGGTGACCACTAACTTCCTAGATCTGTTTCCTTCTCTGGGTGGAAAGTTTTCTGTGATTTTTTTTGTTTGGTTTTTGAGACAGGGTTTCCCTGTGTAGTTCAGGCTGGTCTCCAACTCATTATGTAGTCCAGGCTGGCCTCAAGCCCACGGCAATCCTCCTGCCTCAGTCTCAAGTGCTGGGATTATAGGCATGCACCATCTGTGATTTTTTTTTTTTTAAATAAACTTTCTATTCCTTTGGTAAATCCTTCTTGAACTCCAATATCCATAAAAAATTTTTGCACTTTCAATATTGTCCCAAAGTGCCTGTAAGCTTTTATTTCCTTCTTTTTCTTCTTCCAATGGTATATATTCAAATAGCCTGTCTTGAGTTCACTTTTTATCAGTTTAACCTATACTGCTGTTGATGCTTTGTAATGTGTTTTTAATTTCACTAAGTGTTACGTGTCAGTTCAAGAATTTCTGTTTAGAATTGCTTCAATCTTCTTAAGATTCTGTTATAGCAGTGATGGTGGACCTTTTAGAGACTGAGTGCCAAACTGCAACCCAAACTCACTTATTTATCACAAAGAGCCAACACTGAAATACTGAGGTTTTAGTTTAGAAAAAACAACTCTACATTAGCACCTTTGGTTTAAAACAAAACAAAATAACACGTGTGCCATATGTTTGGCCACCACTATGTTGAGAGTATTGAAATGTGGGCCAGGGATTTAGCTCAGTGGCACCGTGCCTGCCTCACAAGCACAAGGTCCTGAGTTCGATCCACAGTACCAAAAAAAAAAAAAGTATTGAAATGGTTTTTTTTCTTCAAGATCAAGTTTCTTTGAAACAGCCTGTTTTAAATTCTCTGAGAGTTTTCCCATCCTTACTATTGCCTGGTCAGATGCAAACTTTGTTTTTAATATGAGGTGAGGTCATGATTTCGTGAGAGCTCTTGATGCTTGTTGGTGTATGTCATCTGGGCACTGAAGGGTTAGGAATTTATTCCAGTCTTCATAATCTAGCTTTGTTCCTAACTTTCCAGAAATTCTAAGCAGTTTGCTAGTCTTTCAGCCTATGGTTATTTTCACTGTTTCAGCACTGGATGGCACCCAAGTTCAGATTTGCCAGAAGTCTGCTGTTCTAACAGCTGTATATTACAACTATTTCTGCACTAGACAGCAATCTAACCCCAGGTTCATCTCACATACACTATACACAGGTCTATACAGAGCAGTTAAAGTTAACATTTTAACCCCAAAGGGCACTTTTCAGTTAATTTCTTTTGGGTTGTTTGCCTGTGAAACTAGGGTTTGCGGTGGTAGATGTTTTTAGAAAATAAACTAGGATGTTGGAAGTGAGGCTGTAAGAATGAATAATAAACTAAAAAGCCACTTTCCTAAATCACACTTTTCTGGGAGGACACTAAGAGGCCGATGCTGAGAAGCAGCCAATGTAAGATGTGTACCACTCTTTGCCACTTTGTCCTTCAAAATCCAAGCCAGAAAAGTAACTGAATGTGCTTTTTGCAGAATAACTACCTACACAAAGTATTTCCTGCTTTTCTACTCAGTTCTTTTATCTGGAGGACATGCTGTTTATCTCATTCTAAATGAAATATTTAACTGGGATGTTTGCTGTTTTTCTCAAGGTTTCTGGTTTTGGACTTTTAGACCAGTGTTGTAGGGAAAAGCTTAAGACTTTAATTAACCTTACTTATAACCTATTCTCGGTCCTGTGTATGCATATTTTCACTCAATAAACTTACAGAGCCCCTGTCATGTGCCAGGAAAGCTATGAGGTAGCCTGGCCTGAAATGGTGTGGCAGGTAGTCTACAGGCAAAACAGACTGAGACAGTTGGGAGGTAACAGTCGATGGGCCTTCAGAGTGGGTTGCATGTGGGCTTGAATGGCAGGAATCAGTTCAGGAGTCTACTCCTGGGTTTATATCTGGGACAAGGGAAGGTGAGGAACACGGGGGATGTGGTTAGGACAGGAAGGTGATCTTTCTGAACTTGTTTAGTAAAGTCTAGGGTAGGTTTCAGGAGTCAGGAACCTCTAGAAATTACAGAAAAATTGTTCTATGTGTACATTCTGGGGAGACAGTCCTCAGTGTGCAACATTTAAAATAGTTAATGACCCCACAAAAGGTTAGGGGTCATTTATCCACAGCATGAAGGCACCTGGAAATTCTTTGATACTATATGCATGTCAAATATGAGTTATACAAGATTTCTCCAGCAAATTGTCTTAATAGAGCTGTGTCTTGGCCCTATGCTTGTGATATGGTAACAAGGACAAGGTAGTATCCATGAGGGTTACTTTCTTTCAACTTGGCTGAGAAACTTGACAAAAATACTATAGGATTTCTTCTTTGGCTATCAAAAGCTGGATCTGATACTACAAATTGGTTTCCAATTTGTTATGTTGAGTTACTCTGAATCTGAAAAGATCCAAAGCAAAGCCAGTGTACAAGGATGCAGATGTACTGATAATTACATGATGTTTGCTACAACTGATTTGGCTTTTATTTGTAAAGTCACTACTTTTCTCTCAAGTTTTTGAGGCAACTTTGCTGAGGTTCATTAATCTGGATAAAGTCAATTACTGGATAATTCCAATTAGAAGCTAAAGATCACCAAATTATTATGTTTCTTAATCTAAACAGTTCAGTAAAGATAAATTTGATATAACTGCTGAAAATGTTGCTATAAAACATCTACTTGTTCATAAACACATGTTCCACTGCCTAAAATATGGAATGTAAAAAGGACATTACCTTTTTTTTTTTTTTTGGGTACCGGGGATTGAACTCAGGTCCTTGCACTTGCAAGGCAGGTGCCGGAACCACTGAGCTAAATCCCCAGCCCCTGCCATTTAATTATACAAGATTGTCCCATTCTCAATTTAACTGTCCTACTCCAGAACAATAAAGCAAAGTTATTACTTTTAAAATTCAGAAAGGAAAAAATACTTTGCCTCTGGCCAAGGAGAAGTCATCCACGAGGACAGTATCATGGGGAGGAATTATGGGACACCCTGGGACATATTCTTTGCATATTAGTATCTGAAATGATACCCATATTTAACTGAAAGGTGTTTTGTATGCACTGCACCAGAAGAGACTTTTTTCCATCAGAGTAACAACACTGCAGTTACAAATGTTTTGTCATTTTTTCTTGAGTTGTCACTGTTCTTGAATAGAATGAATTCAGTCTTTGGCTTCAACTTGTGGCTAAGTGGAGTGACACTTTGAGCAGTTATGGAATTTGAGAACCATCTGGGAATAATCTACTCTGGACTGCAGCAAAGGCTCTAAATGTGGAATAAAGAAGAGAAGGAAGCCAGGGATTTAGCTTAGTGGTTCTGCCACCTGCCTCACAAATGCAAGGTCCTGAGTTCGATCCCCAGTACCAAAACAAAACAAAACAGAGGAGGCAATTGAAAGTGTGTTGAATGACAGTCCCATCTTGCTGCTGAGTTTGCTGTCTGGTGTATGGAATGTTGTCAAATGGGAGTTTTAGGGCCTGGATGATGGCTTAGAATGGCTTGGCATGTTCCCATAAACAAAGAGAACAAGTTCTTGAAATGCAGCTAACAAGAACTTAATGGCCTTGTGAATTTTCAGTTTCATGGAATAAAAGTATTAATCTACAATACAGCAAAGGTTTCTAAAGACCTTCATTGAAAATGAAGCAGTCATGCCAAAAATAAATATAAATGACTTAGTCAAGAAGAGTGTCAAGTTTGTTTTCCAACCATACAAATTTTATATTTACTCAACTAAGTATTTTGGGGCCAGGGATTTAGCTCAGTGGTTTCGCCACCTGCTGCCCAAGCTCAAGGACCTGAGTTCGATCCCTGATACCAAAAACAAACAAACAAAAAATCAACTAAGTATTTTGGGTCTCATATTCAAGTGAAATTTTCATTCCTACAGAATCAATACAATAAAAACAAGCACCTAGACATTTCTGACAACAAACTTCCAACTTCACAAATATTTAAATCAAACAAAATGCTGTTACAACCTCCAAAGATTAACCTAATCATCGTTTCTTGATCCCAACAACATGCCATTAGGTTTGTAAACAAAAGCTGAGAACAGAGATAGTCACAAACTTGGTTTCCTCATCAAATAATTTATCTACATTGCACCAAGAAGAAATAACCAAGTTAACATTCCTATACTCATTTTTTCATAAATTAAAAATATTTAACAGAAACATAAAAGAGCTTATGACTATACATTTTTAAGTATTTACTCAAAACTATATAACCCCAAAAAGTTTAGCTATGAATACATTCTCTACTCAGTTTTGTCATATGGCTAAATGCTCGATTTTGCATAAAAAGTGGTACAATTAAGTATTATAAAAGTCCTTTTCGAAACAGTTAACATTTTCTGTGTACATAACTTTTTAAGTTACCTTTTTAAGGTAGCATTTAATGGATTCTGGTTCCAGTAGGCCAATGATCCAAAACACTGGTAACTAAATAAGACATCTACTTGTTGGGAATGGGGCTAAACTCAAAGTACACGGACAGACTTTGTTGATGCAGTTGCTCTTTTTTGTACTTTGGTTGCTTTCTTGGAAAAAGTCAAGATTTCGGGAATAGAGGGGATGGGATGTAGGAAATAAAAGTATATTCAATGTCTAGTGATGGCTCCTACACAATTATGAATATTGTGAAGGCTAGCCATTGTCACCATATGAGTCTGAAAATATGGTTAAAATGTTAGAAAAGCCTTATATACTATAATGTTATAGGAAGCTTCAGAAAGATTTATCTGTAAGATACTGGTTTCTCATTTCTTATGATGCCTCTTTTTCTTATTATTTGGCTGTAGAATTTATCATTAAACTGTTCAAGAATATCAGATCTTTGTAAATTAGTCCCCTTCCCCACCAACACCAAGAGTATTTTTCAGCTATCAAAACCACCATTCCTTTGGACTGCTCTACCAAATGTTTGTCTTCAGTTAAACAAGGTGGAAGTGCAATATTTTCTGTGTAAAGGGCACTAGGCTAGGAGTCAGCAGGTATGGGAATTCAAGCTGTGTGAGTACCGGTAAGTCAGTCTTTCTAGGCTTCCTATTTCCTCACCTGAGGTCCTTCCTAGACCAAAATCAGATAATTGTCAGTCACCAGGTTAGACATAGGCTGAATGCAGGCCAGAAACCTCTAGTCATTCCTATGCCTTGAAATGAGCAACTGGCATCTTACATGTGTGAGGTTTGCATTACTGCAGGTAGCTCCTTAACACCACAAATGTTCAAAGTGTGGATGTCAACCTATCTTTTGACAAAAAAATCTCGTGTGTGTGGTACCAGGGATCAGCCCCAGAGGTACTCTATCACTGTTTTATGAGACCGTGTCTTACTGAGTTGCTCAGGTGGGACTCAAACTTGCAATCCCCGTTTCAGTCTCCTGCGTAGGTGGGATTACAGGCATATCCCCCCACCTGCAACTCATCTATGTATCTTTTGTACATTTCTTATTGCACTTCTTACCCATATAACAAACCTATTTATTCATTTTCAAATGATCTATTAAATTTGATGCTTTGGATATTCACCAAATAAAGTCCACATTTTAGGGACAAGGTAGGTAAACAGACTGATAGATTGGCTGGCCTAGCCAAACAAGTAGTCAAAATATACAAGCCTTTCAAATGTTCATTCATCACTCTTAACTCATATGAGATGTTAGCTATTAAATTACTAAACAGGCTTCTTTCAAAGGGTGGTGAAACTCATCAGTTTGGGATGGCTCTAAATCACGGTCTTTATTTGCAAAAGGCCAGGATTCTGACAAAGCCTTAACACAGTTATTCCATAATCCCTTCTACCTTGCAAGGTATAAAATTAGTCCCCGTCAGGTTATGAAACCAACTGTCAAACTTACAAAAAAGCTACCCAGTTTTGGCAGAGATCCTCCTGGTACTTGGGTTCTATTACAGAGGTTACAGTTTAATCTACTAAATGTGTACTTCTGTCAACCCTTCTGACATACTGCTTCCACGAGATTCTTATTTCAAATACAGTAAGTGCTCTAGTAATCTGGAGAAGAGAAATACATTACTCAGACTTAGTTTAAAACTTTTCCACTGAAGGAGTAATTCTGAAGCATTATTTAAAAAATGAATTGTTCTCTTTAAAAGCAAATGATGGGTAATTATTTAAACTTACATGAAAACCAGAGCTTTGTCAAGTTCCTATAAGTTGAGTGTCACATACAGCATTTAACTCTTCACTGACACTTTATGAAACTCTCCAATAAAGATGTCTGATATAGGGCTGGGGCTGTGGCTCAGTGGAAGAGCACTTGGCCTAACATACATGAGGCCCTGAGTTCAATCCCCAGTAACGCGAAAAAAAAGTCTGGTATGTTTGGACAACTTATGAACATTGTTTCCAGGTTGTGTCTTTGTCTATTAATGTATCATCATTCTTACAGATATACTGGAATCACAGGTGAATCTGGATTTTTATATTTTTGAGACAAGGTCTTGCTATGTTGCTCAGGTTGTCCTCGAAATCGTGGGCTCAAGCTCACTTATAGTATGAGTTCAACAGAATGCCGTATAACATTTCACACAGTATAACTTAGACAATATGTTACATAAAGGCTTAAATAATACCACTCTTGAAACATTAAGGTTCCAGAGAACTGTGTTAACTATAGAGATGGCTTCAGCTATGTTTCAGAAATTTGCTCATAGTGAAAGAATGTTTTGGGAGACAAAGTCTTGCTATTCCAATCTGGCCTTGAACTCACAGCAATCCTCCTGCCTCCCAAATGTTGGGATTACAGGCATGTACCACTATGCCTAGCTAAGAGCTTTTTTTTTTTTTTTTAATGTAAAAGTATTTCTATAACCAAAGCTTTAGGATGTGGATTTTATCTATGATATGGCCCTGAAATTCACACATCCTTTTTTGGAAATAGGTATTTAAGAATATTTTTGACTTCCTAAATAATAGTTTTTCAATTTTCATTGAATGTCATGATATGTACAAGAAAAATATATAGAAACAGAAATTTCCTTAAACTACTACATTCAAAAAGGTGAGACAGTCATACAGAATAAAATAAAATCATTAGTAGAAATAAAAACTAACATTAAACATCAATACTTATACATCAAAATGGACAGTGAGCATAATAAAGCTACATATAGTCACAGACAGGTAAGTATCAACTACCAAAACACAACTCTTTAAACTCCTCCTCCTTCCCTCATGCTTCCATCCTTTTCACATGGGGGTACCAACGCAGGAAGCTCCTGGATGTAGCTAACCGTGCAGCAGCCCCTAAGGCAGCAGTGGCTGTGCTTCGAGGAATGTAGAGCTTCTGAGAAATCTTGTTCTCTGGAGACAAAATAAAAGACAGTTGGTCCATAGATCCTTGACTCTTCTCCTTGAATGCTGGGATAGTACTGCTGGAAAAATCTTCATTCTTTTGGCTCCCTGGAGAGCTTTCCACTAAAAAAGAAACACAAGTCTTTTCAAGGGGTTCTCAGATTCACTGCTTTCTCTCTCCCATTCTAGCTCTTCATCAACATGTACTACAATTATTTTCTGTTGGGTGGTGACCATTTCCAATGGCCACTCAGGGAATGAGACTCAGAAACAAGTCAACAAGCAAAGAGGAAATGGGGATGGAGAATCACATGTTGAAATAAACTACATTCTTGTCAAGATGACAGCCAAGAGAGGGGGAAAATGCATTCATGAACAAAGGGAAGATTTCTTTATAGGAATGCCATAAATTAGATAAAATCAAATTCCAAAGAGCCTATAAGCTCTCCTATTTTCTTCCAAGTACTGAGGAAAAAAAATGGTGTCTATAAGCATTCTCTATTGCCAAAGTGGGTCCAAGTCTGTGCCAGTATAAAAACCATACCGAATTGATTGCTAACAAGTACCAAAAGCCAGTTAGCCATACAATGACTGTATCGAGCATTAATTTTAACTATGAGGAAATAATCCCTTAAATGAAATGAAATTTCTGGAATGCCAATGCCCAATAGTACCTAAGGGTCAAGGAGGGGGATGCTAGGAATGCTCGGATAAGTACTCTAGACCAGTGCTACCCAAAGTAGCTGGTATGATTATTGCCTGCCTACAGTAAAAGAAGTTTTTGATGACATCTAAGACAAGACATTACTTCCTTCAAAAAAATCCTGCTTTAAAAAGAAAAAACCCCAGGTGATCTAAACAATGTGCTCAGCAGTGCACTTGCAGTTGATTTAACATTCTGGCACAAGCTCATTGTGCCATCTATCGTGCAAACTCTTCACAAATTGGCACTGCTCTCTATCTTAACATGGATTTCAAAAGGAGAAAAAGTGAGCATAATTCCAATCTTTTATTCAGCTTTGCATCTTTAGCATCTAGTAGCAGCATGTGCTCTATTTTGCTTGCATTTGTGAGAAGTTATATAAAGAAGGACTTGACAGGGTGTTCTAAAAGTAAAATTCTGTTCATAGAACTACAATGCTCACAAGATTACTGAGTAGACTGGACACAAACAACACACTTTGAGTGTCACTGCCTCCCATCAGGCTCAGATAAGACCATCCAGTTGTAAGAAAGCAAGTTCAGGGCTCCCCCACTGCTTCTGAACTGTGGTGAGTTGTGTCATGATTTCATTATATATTACAATGTAACAATAATAGAAATAAAGTACACAGAACCCTCGGCCCCCAAAGTCTGTGGAAAAACTGTATTCTGTAAAACCATTCCCTGGTGCCAAAAAAGTTGGGGACTGCTACTCTTGAAAACCAGAGACAGGAAAATTCACAAGGAAAATTAGAAAATAATTTGTACCAAATGAAAATGAGAATTACACGTCAAAAATCCATGAGGTTTAGCTAAGGCAGAATCAGAGGGAAGTCTGTATAATTTCTATTAGTAAAGAAAAGGCTGTAAAATAAATGATCTAAGGTTTCAAATTGAAAAATTAGAAAAGAAGACAAAATTAGGCCTAAAGTAAGCAGAAGGAAGGAAACAATAATAAAATCAATGCAGAAACCAATTAAATAGAACATAAAAACAACAAGGAATGATCAATGGATCTGAAATTGTCTCAGATCAATAAAACAGATAAAAAGCCCTTTAGGCACACTGAGATCAGAAGAAAAAAAGGTAGCACAAATTACCAATATCAATAGGAATGAAAGCATATGTATCACGAAGATTCTACAGGTATTAAAATAAGGGAACAATATAAAGTAATTTATACTAACAGATCTTAGAGATTAGAGGAAATAAATTCCTTGAAAGAGAAAACAAATATTCCACTCAAATAGAAATCGATAACCTAAATAACACTGCATCTATTGAAGACATATGATAAAGACTTTTCCTTCAAAGAAAATTCCAAGTCCAGACAGTCTCAATGTTAAATTGTACCAAACATTTAAGGAAAAAATACCAATTACACGCAAATTCTTCCAGAGAATAGAAGGGGACCCTTTCCACTTCATTCTGAAGGCAGCATTGTCTAGATCAGTGATAATGAACTTTTTAGAGACTGAGAGCTCAAACTACAAACCAAAATCCACTTATTTATCACAAACTGCCAACACTGCAATTAAACCCGGGTGCTCAGCTGTTGGGGCGACTTGGCTTGCATGCCAATAGAGAGGGCTCTGTGTGTCTGATGCAGCATGTGTGCCACAGGGTTGCCACCACTGTGCTAGATACTGAAACCAAAGACATTAAAATCAAAACAAAAACTATAGATAAATATTCTTCATGAACATAGTCATAACAATTCTTAAGATTTTAACAAAGAGAATGAAGTATTAAAGGGATAGTACCTCATGACAATGAGGGTATTACTGTAAGAATCCAAGGTTGGTTGAAATTTAGCCTATAATAGACTATTTTTTAAAAACAACATGATCATCTCTATAGATGTAGAAAAAGCTAAAACTGTATTATAAAAAATCAAATGGACTTGATTAAAATGAACACCTTTTCTCTTCTAATGATGCTGTTAAGGTAAGCCATAGGCTGGAGGAAAAAAAAAACCACACATACATACATACATACACACACATACACAGAGAGAGAGAAGTAGATAGATCTGGCAGAGGATCTGTGTCCAGAATAAAGAACTTTTATAAGCAGATAACCCAGTTTTATTTATTTTTGAGATAACCCAGTTTTAAAAATGAATATTTGAACAGTCACTTAACTAAAGAAGATATATGAATCACAAATAAGCACATGAAAAGATGGTCAACACTATGGTAATCAGGAAAATGCAAATTAAAACTACAGTAATACGCCTGTACATATTCACTAGACTGGAAACACTTTAAAAGATTACCACTTTTAGATAAATACTGAATAGAAAAGAATTGCTATCGTGTAAGTGAAAGAAGCTAGATATAAACTACATAGAGTACTATGTGATTCTAGTGAAGGGAAAATGCTATGCCGAGGCCTGAAAGCTGTCAGAGGGATTGATCACAAAGGGCCACAAATAAATTTTCCAAGTTGATGAAAATGTTTTATATCATGACTGTATATTTGTCAACACTTAAAGGGCCACACATGTAAAAATTAACAAATTTTACTATACATAAATGTGAAACTCCTGAAATAAAAAAACAATGAAAAAGAGAAGAGTAACAAAGCTGAAGGGAGTAACTGAGCCCTAAAATAAGATGAGGACTTGAGATAAATGGTTAAGCTAGCAATCTTTCAAAATATATTCTGAAAGACACCAAGGTTTTTAGCAACATGGCAAAATATTATATGTCAATTGTGAGCATGCACAAGTCTATGTAAACCTACCAGAAGCAGACTCTTTTTGGGGGGAGTCAAGAACTGTAGGAGTTGAACTGGATACTGCTGTGGATAGCTGGATTTGCTTTGGCTGAGTGAGAATGCTGTTAGGTTCAAACTGGCTCCCTTCTGCTGATTGCTGTGACTGGATTAAAGAGATGTAAAACTCTTCCAATTTGGGCAATGTGGAAGAATCCAAAGAATCTTCCAAATCTATGTCCTGCAAAATGGCAGAAATAGGGTGAAGGCATGAAGAAGTGTTAGGATAACAAGAATTAAGCCATTTTTGTTTTCCTACATGCAAAATACAAATATTTTTCTTAAGAAAAAACTTCTCACTTTCAAGAACCTAGACAATTTTGAGGAAAAGCAATCCTTTTGTCTAACTTAATGAATATCAACTTAAGGAATCTTTATTGAAGACGTACTACAAGCAAACATGGTACTGAGTGCTACCATACATAGCTAAGGAGGGGTAGCAGGACATGAGAAATGACATTCACTGAGCACTTCCTTGCAGACCTTGTTAAGTTATTTGTATGTGTTTTTAAATTTAAACAGAACCATTCTAGGTAGGCAGTAAGGCTTTCACTTAGCATAATGCTTGTCAAGGAGAGATTAAGCTTCCCAATATCCATCAGTAAAGGGCAGGGGTAGATCTGAGCTCAAGCCAGTCCTTGTTCTCTGTGCTTTACCTCACCACCTCCCAGGAAGATAGGATCCCTATCGTTGTGGACATCATATTCCAGCTAGGGAGCAGCATATATATGTAACTAGCCATGAAAGGGGGCATCAGCTTGATTCTGAAGTGTGAATGAATGCCCAGAGAATACAAAGGAGGCCTCAGAAGTAATGGGATAAGAGTTACTTCCCAGAGACTAAACTTGAGCTAAGTGTATGAAGTGCCCAATTTGAGCTATTACAAACTAGATCTAGTTTCCTACCATATAGTCATTGCTGAAGTATGTATAGCATATGGAACTTTAGAGCATTTTTCTTCAGTGATGTCAGGTGGCCACAAGTGTGTGCCTCATGACCAAGCTGTGACAAACTTAACTAAGTAGTTTACACTCCAGTAGCAAACTGAAACAGTAACTGTACAAATAGAAAATTTAGCTTGTATCTTTTTCAGGCTGAGTGTAAAAGATATTTAATATCAGTAAATGTTCCTTCTGTGGCAAAAATACAGCACCTCATTTTCAAAGATTGGCATAAATGTGTCTTATACAATTATATAATATATAAAAGGCTGTATGTATAAATTTTTGCAGATAACTGAAATTCTTAAACCCCAGATAGTTACACCTGACTCTCCAATACACTATTTTAGGAAACAAAGACCTGGATGGATTCAAATTTTTGCTTAGTTAACACAACTTACATATTCAAATTTTAAAGTTTATCCCCATTTAAAATGAGGTTAAGTATCAGCGAGTTCTTTCAAAAAAGCTGCAATGATAAGTAAATATTTTTAAAGTAAATATTTTTATTATAGAACTTTTCCCCTTTTAATTTTTTTCATGTTTCATTAGCACATGTTTGCAGTACATAATAATTATTTTACTTGTGGAGAGTTGGTACATGTACATTATATAACTCAATTATTTTTTCATCTCCTTTCCCTTCCTTCTCCCATCTGGAAAAGAGCTCCCTGTTTTTTATTATCTATCTTTTATTTTTCTTTTTTATATTTTGGGTTTCTCATGTAAGAGAAACTAGGCAATTTTAAAGCTTGTGTATCTTTAGCATTATGGTCTCAAGATGAATCATTCGTAGGAAAATGAATACAAATTTATCTTTCTTTATGGCAGAGTAGTAGGTCATTGTGTATAATACCACCTTTTTTTATCAATTCATCTGTTGATGGAAATATAAGCCACTTTCAAGGTTAGACTGTTATGAATTGTGCTGCTATAAAAATAAGTATGTGTGTGCTAGCTCATAGGACATGTCTAAGTAAATGTAAAAGAATTGAAGCTACCCTCTATATATTATCAGACCATAGTGCAACAAAATTGGAGGTCAATAACATAAGAAAGCATAAAACTCTCACAAATACATGGAAATTGAATAACACCCTCCTGAACAACCAATGGGTCACAGAGGAAATTAAAGAAGAAATTAGACAGTTTC